CCTGCTGCCAGGGGACACCACCTCCCTGCAGGACACCTGCCTGCTGCCCTGCCTTCCCAACACCTCGGGAAGGACAGTCATCTCCAGGCACGTGGGGGTTGCAGTGGGGGAAAAGCATTTTTAGTGGCTGTTTGTGCAGCTCCTGCTGCAGCTGCTTGTCTGAGAAACTGGTATTTGTTTTCCATAGCAGCAGGAGTCAGGGCAGGCCCTTTGTGCCACCTCAGGATCCCTTGGGATGCTGCAAAGGCTGCAGCAGCAGCTGCCCTCCCTCTTGCCATTTCTGTCTTTGGAGTGGAACACAAGAGCATCTGTTCTGGCACATCCAGGATGGAAATTTATTTCTTTTTCCAGCTTGCTTTATTCCCCTAAGAAAACTCCTTGCCATGGAGGGCAGTTTGGGTTCTTGGCTTAAACAGCAGACTACAGAGCTAGTGAAAAAAGGGAGTTGTTCAACAATATGAGGTGGGGGGTGAAATCTTGGTGGGTATCTGCTCAATGTCATGGAAAAGAGCATCATGAACAACTCAACTTTCTGATGTGAAACTGTAGCTAAGAAGTGAAGTGATTACCACACACAGAGGAACATCACAGGGTGTGTTACTCCTGTGTAAAAGGGGGAATTGCTGTTGGGAATGGAGCCACGGCTCAAGTGGGTCAATGCTCCCAGATGGATCTTCACAAGGGGACAAGGATGGGAAGTGAAGAGCAAAGCTATTGTGAAGGTAAAGCTCAGTTGATGCCCAAAAAAATTATGTAGGTGACAGAAAATGAGGTATTTCCAGTAAGAGTTCATAATTTGATGGGAAAAAGGACTAATGATACCCAGTGACTGCAGCATATTAATCTAAATGAGCTTAGACCAGACCTTTTTTTCACATGGTGAGGGTTATTAACCTTACCTGCAGTTATAAGGCCAGTTACAGTGTTGGAATGTAATCCAGTTAATTTAGGCTTTCTCCATGCTGCATGCTCACAGCAGCCATGTTAAACTGTCAGACCATGTGTGGATTTGCTTCTGTCCATACCCCAAGCCTCGTCTTTCTTCTTCTTTTCTGCTTCTTTTAATATAAAAGTAAACCTGCTGTGTCCCTTGGCAGTATTCCCACTAACAGAAAGAGTGGAGAACACTGTCTAAAGGATGCTCTCTCCACTGAGCACAGGGCCCCAGTGGAAAAGGATGTTCTCTCAGCCTTTTCTGTCCCTGTGCCAGTGCTGCTCTCCCCATGAGGGAGCTGGGCAATCTGTATTTCTGCTCCTGGGATCTTTCTCCTGTTTGTCACAGCTGATGCCAGATTTCAGTTTCTCCATGCAAAGATGATTCTGGACATCTCTCAGTGCACCTGATTGCCTTCAAAATACCACTGATGGGTCTGAAAGGAAAATGCAAGTCACACCATCTCCAGGTTGGCAACACAGCCTCTTTCTTTCTTTCTTTTTAACAGAAGCATTTTTGGGGGTGCTGTGCTCATTCATTCCCAGGTGTATCCACTGCCACATGAATAACACTTGGCAGTCTTTTTCCCCCTGACACAGCTGCTTTCCATCTGTGGCCGGGTTGGAAAGTGAGTCAGTTTTTGATGGGAGCTGAAGGGCTGGGGCAGCTGAATTTGTCTGAGCAGCGCCTCAGAGTGAACAGAGGGATGGTACTTGTGTAATTACAGGTTGTTCTGACGACCTGTCCCTGGCAGCTGCCACAGCTGAGCTGCTCCTGGTTACCTGAGCAATGTTTCCCTGACAAATGGCTTTAGGAGGGTCACACTGTTGGGGTGTTCCATTAAGTGCTCGTGTCCTCTCAGGCTGAACATCCCGTTCAGAGCGTGTCTGCCGTGTCTCACAGGGTGGGGTGGTTCCCTGATGTAAGAGCTTCCTCCTGGACCTGTAATGCTGAGCTCAGATCTTCTGCCACTCACAGTGATGACTGTCCCTCTGGGCAAGAACATGTGGCCTTTCCACGCAGCAGCAGAGCAGCCCAGGTGATGAGTTCTCACTCCACACCGTTTCCAGGTAAGATTTTTTTTGCTCCCTCAGTCAGAGATAGACAAGTTGTGGCTTTGGTTACTTTAATCCTCTGCTGGCACCTGGTAGAGATAAACATGACTTTTATACCCTGTTGCTTTTGGGAGGTAGGTGGAATGCTGCTCTGAACCTGCCTGCATTGCTCTCCAAAAATTTCATGTTAATTGGATGAATGTTCTTATTTTAGAGCTGCCTATATTATTTTATATTCTGCTGATGGGTGATCCCTGTAACCAACTGGGCTGCAATGGCCCAGGCTGGCAGCTTTTCAGCACTGCTCCCTTGCAGTCCCTGGAGGCAGTGGGGGCTCAGGGATTGGTAAGAACCAAGCATTCCCAAAGAGGATTCAGTTCAGGGATGTGTTCCTGAGAGGGAAATATGTTGCTCCACCCCTTTTGCCTGCTGATACCTTTTCCACGGGAAAGCCCTGCTGTGTTTTGTTGAGGAAGCATCTGTCAGGAATTGCCTGCTCCTTTTTCTAGGTCACCTGCCTTCATGGAGCATGTCCTGTCTTGACTGCAGTGTGTTCTTCAGGCTTCAGACACATTTCTGAGCCAAATGCAAGTGAGAACAACGTGTGTCTCACCTTGTTTTTCTGTCCTGTGTGCCTGTGATCATTCCTGCTTGCCTAACACCTGGAACAGAGGCCACCAATATCACAATATCATTTCATAACTCAGTCAAAAGGGGTATGGACTAAGGATTTTATAAAACGGTTTAGAATTTAATGCTTTTCAAAAGATGTGATGAGAATATTGCCTTGGACCAAAAAAAAGAAAAGAAAGTATTTGAGTAGATTGAAAAGACTTTTTTTCTTATTGATAATTAAAAAGGAACATGCAGATGTTTAAAGCTGTTTTAAGAGGTCACAGGAGCAAACAAATGAGAAAACAGCTTTGCTTTTCCTCAGACTTTCTTCTGTATTGGCAAGCAGTACTTCTTGGACCCAGGGTCCTTTTTCTGCCACTGGGAGAACAGATCATGTGTGGATATTAAAAAGTAGTAATTTTTTAATACTCTTTAATAAAGTACATCGAGAAGGATGTATCCTGGAAGCAGCTTGGGCACATTAGTGAACTTAAGGGTGAACTGGGAGGGCTAAAGGAGAAGCAGGAAGGAGGATGAGGAGCTGGAATATCTTGCTGGCAGGTATCTAACTCTTCAGTATTTTGTACTGCAGAGAAGGGGAGGAAAGGAGTGAGGCTGAAAATGGCAGTTTCCAAAAATGAGAGAGCAAGAGAGAAATGCTGGGGGCCTAAAGTGGTGTGATGGGAGAGAAAAGCAGAAGGAACTGCTGTGAAGAGAGGCTGTGAGCCATGTTCCAAAGGAAAGTGGATGCAGGAATTGTTGCAGTTGAGTGGTGTGAGGGCTCCTGTGGTGTGTCTGGCTGGCTGAGGGGAGGCAGCAATGCCCTTGGCTGCACTGCAGGATGTTCCTCCCAGGATGAGTGACAGATTGAGTTCACAGGCATGACAGACACGCTCTGACACGGGGGTTTTATTGACTGAGAGCCAGGCTAGGAAGGGTGTTTGAATATGCCACCAAGTCCTGAAAGAATCCCCTCCCAACCTCCTGAAGTAAAAACAACCTGAGGACACAGAGTGTGTCTGAGCAGCGTGACAAACCTTCTTTATTGCTCCCTGCTCGGGTGGCAGGACTGAGATCTCCCCCGCAGGGAGTCCCAGTGCTGCAGGCAGTGACACATCCCTGTCCCCCTCCAGGTGCCCACACTGATGGCTTTGCAGCCTTGGCAGCTGAACTCTGACAGAGCAGGCACAAAGGACTGTCAGCCTGGATCAGCAGCACCTCAAACATCCTTTCATCTGGCTCTTGCCCTGCCCACACTGCCTCTGTGCTGCTCTCCCTCCAGGGGGATGGTACCATTCCATCAGTACAACGAGACCAGCTCTCCAGGCAAGCCACAGACTTTGGCCTCAGGGTAAGAGGCACTGCTCCTTTCAGGGTCTTTCCCTGTTGGAAGTGCAGTCCTTGTTGCAGCACCTCCTGTCACCTTTGCATCATGTGGGTTGTTCTAATACACCTTTGTGTGGGTTTTGCTCTTCCCCTCTCTACCACCAGATAGCTCTGTTCTCTCTCCCTTGGGATGAGAGCAACTGGTGGGGAAAATGGTGCCTCTACAGATATTTTCAATTGCTCAGATGTATCAGCAGAGTAGAAGCCCATTTACCATTTGCAAAAAAAAAAAAAACAACCAACCAAACCTGGGTGTTTTATATGAAACTGGAAGATTGAATGGGAAGAGAGACAGAAGAAGGGGAGAGCATACAAGCAGTGGCTTTTCTTCTTATTTTTGATAGCTCTCCCAGATCCATATAAAGATGATGTCACTGTCCCTTTATTTTTCCTGGAAAGACTGTGCTTTTGATATCCATCCAAGATGGGAAAAATGGAGGAAGAAGGGACAAAGGTGCCATGGGCTCACTGTCAGCTGATCACAGCAAGTTTGATGCTTTGGAACTAAGAATTTTATTGTGCATTTACTGCAAGTCATGGGATCTCAGAGGAGACCCAGTGTACGTGGGACTGTCTGAGGGTGATCAGATCAGACGTGGCTTTGGAGGCCAGTGGATCTGAGTTTCAGAGTGCCATCAGGGTGGTGCTGTCCTCACTGGGACACAGCCTTTGCCTCCAGTGGCTTTGGAGGCTTTTCTATGGAGCTTTCCTGGTTCTGGTGGAATCCCAGACTTGATGAAGCCCTGCCTAAGCCTGGGCACTCTGCTGCCTAACCCACTCACGGATCAGCTGGTGAGCAATGGCCTGTTTGGGAGGGAACCAGGGTAAAGAACTCCCATCATCTTGTTTTGAAGATCTGGGCTCTCTCTTGAGACCCTCCACGATTTCCTCCAGGCCAAACCAACGGGCTTCCTCCAGTTCCAGGCTGTCCATGCTGATCTGGAAAGAATTCAAGAGCACCAGTCCCTCAAATCAGCTTTAAATGTGGGCAGAGGTACCTTGCTTGCTCCTGTACCCACAAAGATCCTGTGCTGGAATGCCCAGAGTGCTTTATCCGTGCCTGAGGACATTACTGTCCACCAGTGCTTTGTTGCCTTGGTTTCCCAGGGAAACACTGTTCCATCATGGCATTGGCCTGTGGAGTGGGTCAGCTCCAGGTCCTTTGGTGGGCAAAGGATCCTGACTGAGCCTGCAAAGCACCAGTGGCTGAGCACAGTAATTAACAGGGCAGAGTCTGATTGTCCTATGGCAGATGCGATGTTAACACTAGAGAGAACCTCCTCTGCAAAACTGGGTGCTGGACTTGTATATGTACAGTGACCTTGCAAAATCTGCCACGTCTCCACAGAAAATAGGATTATTTTGAACTTTGTTCTTCACTTGTAGAGAAAGCTGCATTTAGAGAGGATGTGCTGCTCTCCTCCTAACTAAATTCCGTGGACTGAAGGAGACTTTGCAGCCTCGGGGAGCCCGGGCTCGCTCACCTCAGCCTGCCGTGCTCCCACCAGGGCGTGGCAGCCCAGCATCAGGGAGCCGCTGGGGAAGGGCCAGTGCTGGGACGCCGAGTACCGGAGCGACTCCACCTCCAGCCCCACCTCCTCTGCCACCTCCCGCCGCACCGCCTCCTCCACGGTTTCACCTGCGAGCAACCAAAGGGAGGTAAGGACGGCCCGGCCCCCGGGCAGCGAGGAAAACTGCTCATTTCCCAGGGGTTCCAGCCCCTGTGCTGACCTGGAAACGCTCGTCAGCAGGATGCTCCATTAAACTATCAACTCATTCCATAAACACAGCTACCAGAGAAGTTTTTTGGCCCTGTCTACATACAGGACAACTCAACATCTCCCCTTTTAAGCCATTTTCCCTCTCCCTGAACAGGTGTTCCCACACCCTGCAAGCCCAAGGCCACTCTCTGCCTCGGGGCCCACCTTACCCAGGTCGCAGAAGCCCGAGAGAGCCGTGAACATGCCCGGGGGGAAGGAGGGCTGGCGGGCCAGGAGGCAGCGGCTGCCGTCCGACACCAGGGTGATGACCACTGGAGACACCTGCCGAGGGCAGCAGAGAGCAAAGCCACTTCACACCCAACAAGTAAGTGGAAATTGCTGCCTTTCCTGGCTGGTTGAGGGCCACTGGATGAACACTAAAGACAAAGCACCCAGCTACACACAAAACCCTCCCACTGCTGCTCGCTGAGTGCCCTCTGTGCCAGCCAGAGTCCCTTGTGTTCCTTCCCTCTGCTGCCCAGGTGCTCACCTGGGGGTAGTAGGTGATTCCACTGGCCTGGCAGACACGCTTGCTGCCAGCTGGGTTTTTCTGAGTGGGCTGCCCAGTTTTGCTGCAGTACTGGTGGGAATCATGCCACCGGAGAAGGGACTGGGCCTGCAAACACAGGAGAGAAACACAAACTTTATTTATACCTGTTGCAAAGAGGTGACTCAGAGCAGTCTCCCTGGATAATGTTTTGCATGCAATCATGGGGGTGACCTCTGATTGTCTCTGAAAGCCTCAAAAAGGTAAATGAAGTGTGGGCACTGCTTTGAAAAATGGCAGATTTCTGCATTCGATGTTTCCTGCTTCCAAATTTGAGTATGTTTGAGGCAGGTGGGGAAGAGTTTTGGGATATAATGGGAGCTGTAATGGGAACTGGACTATTCTAAAGAGTCTCCAGCCCTGAATGTCTTCTTAAAAACATCCCAAGCATCACAAACAGTATAGAGCAGGAAAGGAAACATGAGCTATTTCTCCTTATGGGTCAGGACAGCTGATTTTCACACACAGGGCTTCCAAACAGAGGCCATCTGCAGAGTAACAGCTTATAAATGAGTAGTTTTAAAAGAGCAGCTCTGAGAGAAGCTGTGTGAGTTTGTTTGTGACATTCAGTTTGCCCATATTACAGAAATCTAGTGCCATATAATTGTTGAGCTGAGGACAAACTGGGATTGCTGGGACTGCTGCTAACACCAGCACGTTTCACACTGAACATACAGCAGGTGGATGCTAAATGGCATAAATTACTG